GGAAACAGTCTACGCATAGTAGACCAAAAAGTGAGCAAGATAAAGCACTATATTGTCCATGATGGTTCAGAATGTTTCTGACTGACTGGTTACCCTGGGGTCGGTGCAAAAAATATTGAAGCAAGACATCCGAGACAAGCTTGGGCAGATAGATTGGGCTGTATCGTGCACATACGAAAAGAAAACAGAATGTCCAGTTGTGCGATGATCAAGTTGCTATTATGCCTCAATTATATCCGTGAGATTTCGGGTGGATTAATGAGATCCAACAAGGCTGAAACAGCTACATGGTGCTTCCCGGTTTTCCAGTTCAATTCGCCATGAACAATCGTTAACCAAGCACTTCGTGCGGCAATTTTGGTCGCTATTTTTCGGCTGATCGTTTGGATAAAAGAGTAGAGGGAAGCTTGGAAGGTTAAGATTAGTGTCAAGATGAAAATAGAGAATTGATATGGACTAAGTTTACAAGGACAGTGAGTAGATACACGAGTGTCAGTTTACATAATTAAACCATATCACTTAGTTTCATTAACCATTAGTTGCGCTGATCCTGAGGTTCAGTTCCAGGAAGCCAAACGCGATATATGTGAGCCAGTCTCCAAACATCACCATCAAACCGAATCCAATTTTCAACTACTCCACTTTCCTCATTTAGGTCTTTGGTATTTTCTTCAATCGTGATTCGTTTTAGGCAAACAGGACTCGATCTACCAGTAGCAAATGCTTTTACCCCTTCCCATATCCATATCAGTTAGAGCCACAGTCATCATTTTCAAGCCTGACACGAGAGTCACTGAAATGATCCATACACTCATTATGGCCCAGTCAGCGTGGGCAGCGTGGGCCACTACCAGTGTAACAATTCCAGAAGGCGGTGCCCGGTGGAGGAAATTTGTTTATTACAAACAAAGATCAGGGTGTCAGTAAATTGTCGTCCATACAACATGGTATCTCATTTGGAACGAGTCTGCATAATTCCCACACGCACACAGGTTAGTTGATGGAACGGTCCACTATTAGATGTGCATTCTTGTATTCACCATACCGAACAGTAGCAATTCATTTCAACAGATTTTGCTCATTTTTGGCCGTTGAAAGAAACTACCGATCGCATCTTTTGGCGAATTACTCACAAGTGAGTATAATTTCAAAACTCCAAAAGTGGTCTCAGCGACCGCTCATGCTCATCAAACGACTGCTTCTATTTTATTTTAACTAAACTCAGCTCTGATAAACGCCGAAATGCGCACACGTTTAAGCAGCTTGTCTCTGTTCCGTTTCGCTTCCACATTCACCACTCGGGCAAAATGTGATTGACCAAAGGTTTTCATACTCCAGAAAGACCATTGCATTGACCGGTTTTAGGTATGCATAGGCGCGTCTGTTTAATGAGCTAGCCGCAATTCTGGCACTCAATCACAAAAGAGTTTATTCTGTTTTCAGTCCTTTACCCTGAAGGAACGAGGGCCGTTTCCTAAGCGTCAATTCAGTCCAATCATAAATGCGTTAACCAGGTTCACTCGGCTGTCCCTAGAACATCAAACCGCTGTCTGTAGTGTAGTTTTCAAGTCAAGTCAAGACTCGCTCTTAGCACCCGAAGGGCGAATTTTCAGCAATTTACGAACTTCTACCGGTACTGTGATACTGCAGATCCGAATTACCTGATACTATAGAATTTCGCGTGGTTATTTATTTATCATTCGCCCAAGTTAGGTATTTTCTTACACAGAGGGATTAAAACAACCCCGAAGCAAAATTCTCATATTCAGCGGTTTAGACAACACGGCAGGAGTAAAAACAGATGATGTATTTCTCTTTTTGTTTATAAAAAGACTATAATGGTTGGCTACATCGTTTTCAATAAATACACAGTTAAGCAAAAATGTGTTTTGGAAGTACTGGTGGATCTGCGCTCACAGAACCTCCTCCCAGTTCACCACCATCTGTTCGATTATTTGTCCAAGTCCGGAGTAGATCAAACTGGATGCCTTTTGTCGCCAGGCCTCTGGATTGGGTTCCACGATAAATTTGGGAGAGAACTCGTCCGTGTCAAAGTCCCCCAAGATGCTTGAAGTCTCTACGATTTCCGATGAAAATTCATCTTCTGGAGGATGTAAACTGCATTCATTCTGTATCAATTAAGAAAGGACATTTATTATCACAGGGAATTCAATAGCTATTAAATTTCTATACAGCATACCAGAGACAAACGATTTCGAGGAAAAAAAGATTGTGAAAAAAACGGACTGGTCACAGTGCTTATTTCAGTCAAATTGTGGTACGAAGTCATTTTTCTGTTTGTTTACCAAGTTTATTTGTTTTAAATTACGCGAAAAACAAACTCCATAATTTGATTTAATTCTTTTTTATATGACCATTTATCGCGTCAGGTAGAGCTTTGGTTCTGTTCAAGAGCTTCTATGAATTCAGGTGCTAAACAAACTACTGTAGAAGGTTTTAGAGAAAAGTAAAACATCAGAGAAGAATTACCATTTTAATTTACATGGGACACAACAGTTTTTCCCTAAAATGAATTGGTTGAATAATGGGAAATCAAAGAATTCTGGTCGAAAGCTGCATCTACCATAAATTTGTTTTCAGCGAAATACTCACAATGCGGAGATTATCACGATGTAAATGACTGATAGGCGAATCTAGCCTCAATTAAGGTTCCAGCTGAAAATTACTTTTGAAAGAAACTTCATAATCAAGTCAAGTCACAAATCGCTTTATTTATCTTAATGGATAAGCTCGGCAAAGTTTTCTATTAGGACGAGGCGCATTAAACCTGGTCGTTTCTGAGTTACTGTTTACCTTTTTCACACACTGTTTTATTTATCATCTATCAAAATCATCTTACAATTATACAGGTATTGACCAAACTCGTGCAACACCCTGAAACTTTCATCACAGTTGTTCCTCCCAACGCTTCGTTTTTCCGGCCTCGTTCACGGGATTAAATATGATATTGCCCTAGATCAGACGAAACATATTCGTTATAATATACATCTATGTCTTTGCGCCTCCTAGGTGAATGTTAATAAAACGTACAATTTCTGAATTTTAACGATGATTTCTGGTGCAGCAGTTGTACGATAAAAAAGCCACAGTAAAATAAAAACAGAGTTTATTTATTGAAATGAGTCAGAGCCTTCATACAAGTATAGTACTTTCATCTCGCCCATATTCTATTTGCCCTTCTTGGCTTCTGAGCACTGGAGGCAGTCGTTTATTATGAAACCCACCAATTTGTTTACCCAACACAATTTGCAGTTTCCTCTTATACATACGACACCCCAAATACTGATGATCCCTGTCGAAACAACTAACTTATCCGTGTTTCTAACATACGAAGAAGTTTTCGAGCACATTGAAATCCAAACTTCTGGGCGGTAACTGAATTGGTCTTGACCCATCCAGAAACCGCATAAATGCTAAAATAAAATATTTAATGAGTTCTAACCGTTTTTTCACTCCCAACCTCAAGCAAAGAAGATAAACTAACCTTCATCTGTGAAAAATATGACTTCCACGAATACATTTCGAAAGTGACAGTTATCGAAAACCTCCCTTATCAGTACAATAAATTTTGCGATACATAGATTCGTGTGTGCAGTACACCAACAACAGGGCGCTTAGTATTTAATTCCCTTCCAGTTCGTTAGGTGGGATGGATATTTACTTCTTTTGACTTGTAAAACGAAAATTATTAAAACATCGGGCCAGTAGATCAGCTTTCTCCATTTGCTGAATTACTCGTTAGCCAGCAGTAAGGTAAATACGTCGCTAAATGGACGGACGATGTGATTTGCATTTGTTGGCAAAATCAATACGTGCACTGCCTTGTTGGGTTTTCAATAATGGTTTCATATCAGGTGACCGCAGTTGCATTTCAAATTGAACCATCATTTTCCAAACGATAGCGGGAGGTAAAAACGTCTAATCCACCCGGACTATGCTGCATATTGGTTGTGTGCAACTCTTTGGCACTGCGATCAAATTCAAGCATCGTCTTGCTTCGATGTGATCGGTTTTCTCCCTCATGGTTTATGTCTAGATGGATCAATTCCGTTGATTGTGCAAAGAATGGGGCTTATGTTAACATCGAAGCACCTGCGCTAGTCAAAAACCGAGTCGTCGGATTTATGTGCCTCTGAATTAAGTTGCCTCTCGGTTTCAATTATATGCCAAAATCTCTTGCATGTTTCATCCGGTTTGGGCATGATGTCACTACATGTACGACGGAATTGATCTCCAACGCTGACTTTGAGTGCCCGCCTTTGCCATGGATACGGATTTTCCATGGCGATGAGACCTTTTACGACTGACGTTACTCGTCAGCCCCATTGGCAAACCTCGTTTTTAATTAGCTTCGCTATTACTTTAAATTATTTTTGATGTTTTTGTGAAGTAATTTTCAAATATTGGCAAAAGAATATGATTTCCTATTGGAAGAACAACATCAACTGTAAGGATAATGCAATTAATTACTAATCGGGTATCTTGGATGTAAAAAATGCTCATTAACTCAACTCCACAATTCACTGATATAAAATGTTGCAGCACTGATATCTAAAATACTTATTTTTGTCATTTTAAGTAAAAACAAGTAAAGATTTCTTTATATAACTGATAAATGTGTAAAGATATCAATAAATTCGAAGATTCTCCACAAGGATTAAATATCAGAGCAAAAATTTTATACGTATAGCCGTAAAGTATAGAATAATACTTCTCTTCTAGCACACACTAGGAGAATAATTCCGTTGTTCCGTCACTACAGGGATACAAGACACTGAGAACGAAGACCAAAACAGCACCCACACGTAACATTACCATTTTGTATTGTAACCATTTCATATTCTTATAGTGTTGCTACGTACTACTCAATACAGTTTCGATCTAGTTCTTGAAGCTTCTGTTTCTATTGGAGACATGCTACAATTGCACACAAACTATGAACTCGTTTGTCTTGTTGAACATGATATCCTTGCACATTCTAACATTCCGTCCATCACAGCTCGATTTCGTTGTTTAGTGCTGTGTTCTGATTTCATTCCGAGTCCTAGTTTTGGGTTGGACTAATACTGCGCGGATTTCGATATGTATATGAACTACTAGTCCGAGTGGAAACCATAAAAACTGGCGTCGCGTCTACTTTTATCCTGTTCCCGTAGTGGTCAAATCTCTGCACCGTAAAACAGCACTAGCCGAACTGCTGCAGCATATACACTCGACCCTTTACAGACAGCCGAATGTCGCGACGTTCACACTTTGAGCTTTCCTTTTAATTTTATCCTCGTCTTCTTTCAAACATGGTTAACCAAATGGTATATAAAACTAGCACAAGAAGGAGCTAGATTATTATTCACGCAAATTTCTGTTCCTGAATGCTTTTCTCCCAACTGTTTCAAGAGATTTTACCAAGGACCGGCGTTCCTGGATCAACACAATTTACATATAGAAGTGAACAGAGTTTTCCAAGCGAAATAAAACATATGGACATCATTGGATGCAACATTCTGACTTACCTTTGTCAAAACCGGTTTAACTGTTGTATTGACTCCAAGAATCGTGCTCTTTGTCAGGCGTCTGGATAGAACTGGAGAAACGAGACAATTAAATGTCAAAAAACCCAGAATCACGAACATAATAGGCGAAGCTTAGTTTCTGCCTCATCGAAAGGCAGAAGTTAAGCATATACTTCTGCTCTCATATATAGCCACGAGTTCGAAGTTTTATTTATCGAAATTTTTGTCCAGTGAAAAATACCAAAATAGTACGCATTACTGTCACGGCAACACAATACTGGCCTGTAAACAAAATTTGCACAGAATAAACTTTTCGAACTGCCTCACTTGTTAGGATTACCTAGTCCATAAAAGTTCGATCATCGTGACTGGCGGTTTTCAGTGAAGGTTCATTTACATACTATACTGCGCAGCTGTCTAGAAAATCTACTTGTTTGAGTAATAGATATATCCGTTCATGGATAACCAACAAGTAAGAAACAGTCAATGAACTTCCAATGTCGCTACGTTGGACAGCTGTTTGAGGCGTCATGAATACCCTATATATATGAGCATATTAATATTATTGTAAGCTCTCTTTACAGCAAAAAATAACAAGAATGTATTTGTGATCATTAGGAGAAACTGGGCGGTCTTTGTGGTCGCCAAACAAACCGGTTAACGGTTAGGAATACCGCATTACAAATAAACGGGTCAGAAAACCGAGACAAGATATTATTAAAGCGACCAAAGAGGTCAGTTGGACTTAGCTTTAGTTTCAACTGCTCAATAAACTGAGTGAGAAAACAGAACTCAAAAATAGCGATTGGTTGAGTTAATCATAATGAACCGTATACATGAGCAAAAAATAGTTAAGACGTTGAGGAAATTTTTCTATTCAGAGGTCCATCTTTAGAAAATCGACACGGATCGACCAGTATCTCAAGGGTAAAAGCTACTTGCCACTGATAGGTAAAACTAATTTTCCCTCCTAAAAGTGACTATTTCTTCCTATTTTTCCTTATTTTTCTAATTATTTTTTATAAAATATAAATTTCCGGATTTCGGCGTCAAAAAACTCATACCACACCACCGGCCATATTCGATTCTCGTTGGTCCATTTCTACATGACTTTCTACTTTCGAGCTAACTTCCAAGGTCACCGGTGGCCGGTCCCCAAACTGTATATAAACAGACTAGTTGTCCACAGTATTCGCCTTTTTGGTCTAGCCAAATATACAACCTCACCGGAAGACCTGCCTCCCGTGTTCTCTCTGGTAGGGTTTGAGGATCGTACTACTAACTCGGGGCGCAGTTCCGGTTGCATTGAGATCTGCATTGGGTATTGCAGTCAGGCGTACTTGTGTACTATTCATTCGGTCAATGTTTGTGGTCATCACTGCCGCACGTATCGTTTGATCCACGGTTCACGTTAGTCCGGTCGTATCGTCCATCCCAACGTTGCAACAGATTTGGCGACGGGGTATTCCGTGAACGCCACGCAGGATTTCCAACCTTGACCCCAATACCAAACGCCTCATCCAGTCGCAGGTCAAGATGATTGAGGCTTTGTCCGAGCGACTAGGCATATTGGGCCAGCCTTCTCCCTCCAATGACCCCCGTCATTGGGCCACTACGCCAGAACGATGACAGTTCGTGTACGGTCCAGATGCTGGCGTAACATTCGAGTCCTGGTGCAGTCGGTAGGAGGACGTGTTTATAGCCGAACTGGCCGATGCAAGGGTCCGCCTACCTTTCCGGAAAGTTGGTCCGGCGAACACAGCACCCATTGCAACTTCATCCTCCTGGATGAACTCCGTGATTTTCCCTTTATTGTAGATACCCTCGCCAAAAATGTTGGCGATTCTCTCTTTCTCTCTCTTTCCCAATCCCGTTTTCATTGCCTACAGGTTACCAAACGGGCTGATGATTTCGTTCGGTATGCGGGTATGGTCAATCATACCTGCGGCCAGTTCCACCTTGGTTCGTTGACCGAGGATCAGTTCCGTTACCTAGTCTTCATCTGTGGTCTCCAGGCCCCGTGATATGCTAACCTCCACAATTATGTACTGACCATGATTGACCAGGGCCCAACGTTTCAACTACACCAGGTCGAAGAATGTCAACGCCTCGACAACTTGAAACTCGACTTGGTCCTTATCCAGCA